TCCTTGTTAGGGGTGTACGGTCCCATGTAGGCTGAGTCCTTAGCCTGGGTTCGATTCCAACGGCCCATTGTTGCATGTCATCCCCTCTCTCTCTCTCCCCCTTTTCCTGTCTATCTTCACCCGTCCTATCAAATAAAGTATAAAAAACCTTTTATTTAGCCTTTTTTCTAAAACCAAATCTTCAGTAGGAACTAATGGGGCTGAGAGCAACAGACAGGGTAGGGAAGTAACGACAGATGGACATTTTTGGTTTTGGTCTTTTTCAGATTTGTTGACAGTAAAAAATAATCCTTTAAATCAAAATCTTAATCCTAGGCAGCAATCTTTGCTGCCTTATTATTTCTTGTTTCAAGTCTAAAATCCCTGAAACAAGGAAAACTGGACTGGTGAAATCATCTCAGCCTGGGAGCAGAATTCATTTTTGTTTTAAGAAAAATAAGTCTTGGGAGAATAATTTGAGACAAAGCGACTTGCAAGAAGGATGTTTTTTTGTGCCTCAGGCGAAGGAGATATAACGCACTGAAGTCATTCTGACCATGTCTTTGGATATTGTTTTAGTCCTCTCTCAACAGAACTCTAAAAATAGATTCATCACTGATACCCCCCAAAATAGAAACAATTCCTGAGATAAAAACTGACATGGAGAAGAATCTGTTGTAAGACTCTACAAATAACACAAAGCTTTTTAGGATACAGTGACATGTTTGCTTGTGCTAATTTTATCACGTAGATGCTGATACTGTCATTCTTGACGCACTCAGAAAAACCTGTAAACTGAGAATCTGAGGCAATTCAGTGTTTCCACCTAGAACCACACCATCTTAAGACACTGAAACACTAATTTAAAACTGTGTATGTTTAAATGTTTAATCACACAAACAACAGGCCGACACTTAGCTCCACTGACCTGAGTTGTGCAGGTTCATGCTGCGTAGGTTGGGGAAGAGCCGTGGCAGAATATCCTTGCTGTCCTGAATGGAGGCCAAGTTGTTGTTGGCCATGACCAGAGTGTGCAGGCTGGGGAATATGGAGCCAAACTTGCGGACTTCGGCCCAGTCCTTGAGGCTGTTGTCGGTGATGTGAAGCAGGCGTAGGGTGGGGCAGGCCACACTGGAGGCACTCACACTAGTGTACTCGTTATGGCACAGGAACAACTCCTCCAGCCTGCAGGACAACACAGGAGATGGCAGGGTGGAGGGTGAGGAGGACTGTTGTGGAAAATAGAACGGGACTGCTGTGGCCCTACTGAGGACAATGTAGGGGCAGTGATTTTTAAAAGGGTTGATTGGGTATAAAACTACACACACACACAACCCATACATCCAACTTTCACACTAGGGACACTCACACACGCTCACTCTTCATTGTCCAGCTGATTATTGAATATAGTATATTGTATACTTTATACTTGTTATTTAATATTTATTTATTTTTTAATATTATGTACCATATTAGGAGATATGATCATATACGACATGACACAACACTACACTATACAATACGATACTATACTACATTATTTAATATTATACTATATTATACAATACGATACTATGCTATACTATAGTTTTCTTTTAAAAACTGTAAATACCTCATACTATATATCTATTCATCCGTTGTTACTTCTTAAAGGCTTATCTTATGTAAATACAAGTGAGTTATATATGTTTGGTCTAAACATGTGCAGGGTGAGATGATTACTTTAAAGGGGGAAAAAAATTAAAGAAAAGATGGGACTCTTTTTTATCTTTTAGGAATCGCTCTGCATGTGAAAAAACAACGTTTAAACAGAATATAAAACATATGTACTTTCAGTCTCTGAACACCACAAACAACATTCCATTCACTTCCATTAAATTGGGGAGGTAAACTAAGTGAATTAAGCGCCAGTGTCATTAAAGAATAGGCAGACATTTTTGTCAGCCAATTACTAAACCAGCTAAAAGTCAGTGAAACTGTGAAGTTCCTTCAGTCTCAAAAGCACAGGATTGAGAACTGGTCCCTTGCTCTGCTTCTTTGAGACAATGACAAACCTGCGGAGAAACGGAGGAGCACTGATCAACTATTCTTCTTACTCAGGTATCTCCCTGGCGAGCAGCAGCACGGTGTCCCAGGACACTTGAGTGTTGTTGAGGACGAGGCGTCGGACCCGGGAAAAGGCTTCAGCACGCCGTGGCTCGAGGGTCGTTCCTGCCAGGGGGTTGGAGCTCAGGTTCAGGAACTCCAGGTTGGGGATGCTGGACACGATTTTACTGATCTAAAAATAAGACAATGACATGTCTTTAATTTTGTCTCTCTGCTATATGGTCAAAAAAACAACACTGGTTTGGGTCTTTTCACTGAATTTGTTGACAGTAAATAAAATACAGAATGTAACCAGAATCCTTTAAATGCAATTATTACTGCACCTCATGCCAATCCTGCAGCTTGTTGTGAGACAAGTCCAGCTCTATAACATGGGCACAGAAGGCAGCAATCTCAGCCTGGTCTCCCGCCCTGCTGATGCCACAGCTATTCAACACCAGCACACTGGGCAGGTTCAGACGGTCTGCAGGTGAAGTGGGAGACGGTGGAAGGGAGAATTATTGAGGATTAATCCTCAGAGGGGAAGGTTCACACAGAAAAAGGCAAGGTTCTCAAGGATTTTATATTTAATTAAAGTGGTCTTGGGATTAAATGTACTGAGTCAGAAGAAGCTGTGATTTGTTAAAACAAGTTGCAAATCAGCTAATAATTCAGCAATTCAGCTTAAATGGGGGAACTCTTACAGTGTCACATAAAACCAGTTTGTGAGGGCCAGTAGATTTTATGATTAAATTTAATTCAAAAATGTAAATGAATAGTCATGTTCAGCACACACAAAAATGTACAAAAAAGAAGGAGACCCTAAAATTCCTTCAGGACATGACAACAAGTTCCTAGAATAAACAGCTACTGTGAAGTTTTAATGGTTAAAAAGAAGGGAGCTTATGGTTTAATACTGCGTCTTTGTCAAAAACTCTGTTTCTCCTACAGAGAGAAACGCATGCTGCATTTATGGGTCAAATCTTTCCACTTCTAATATGGCTCAAAAGACCAGAATGCAATGCAGCACATGACATGGACTAAATTCAAATGTCCAGACTTCCCCACCACTTGAGGACTTGCTAAGACGTCTGTATTTCATTTTTGATGTAGGCCTAGTATACTGGCATAGTGGGGTTTATATTGCATACATTACCAGTATTAAAGTCGGTACTGTTAAAACTGTTAAGTCCCATCCAATAGTGCACTTTATCCCCTCACAGACTTGACGTGATGATGGTGAACACGACACGGTACATATGACAAAAGACCGCTCAGCCTGCAGGTCCAGAGGGTGCACATTTGGATTCATGTATTTCAGATATAGACAATTTTTTTAAATTGACAGCTTATTGCCTTGATTTGACAGGACAACTTGAGATAGACAGGGAGGGGGGAGAGAGAGAGGAAGGACACGCAGCAAAGGGCCAAAGGTCGGACTCAAAGATAAGTAATGAAAATGATAGGCCCATATCTATCTGTTAGTCATTATTCACCTCCAGCTCACCTTTCATAGGAGAGCCTTGAGGACCTACGGTGGGCACCACCACCCCCATGCCAGGCCCCCTGCGGCACGGAAAGTTCTCTGGACTGTACTTTTCACTCATCACCTCCACAAAGGTACGACCTTCCATGCCCCCCGGTGGCTCCATGGTTCTGTCCCGCTGAACAGCCTCCCCCTCAGCTGGTCAGCATTGTGGGAAAGAGACAGAGCTGTCAGCTCATACACAGGCCCTGTTTTACTTCATTATCCATGCACATCTTTACAAGACTTTCTACATAGCTGTGCCCATCTTGAAAAAGGCTCATCTGAACGAAAGAAGAGTACAGACAAGGGCTTCAACTAGGGATGGTCACAAATAATTTTGTTGCGTGATAAATGAGTCATTTGCCCTCAACATGAAACATGAGAAATGCCTATGACACCAAGGTAACATTCTAAAATCTTTGCCCAAAACAATAATCCAAAACCTGAGGAAATTCAATTTAATGATATAAAACAAAGATAAGCAGCATATCCTCATAGTGGAGCAGCTGAAGCCAGAGAATCTTTAGCATTTTTGCTTGATTAATGACAAACAAAAAAGTGAATAATTGACTAATGGTTGCAGCTCCAGTCCAGACAGGCTTACAGTATAACATTGTTGTGTCAGAAGTAGGGTAAAGTTGGGACAGCGAGAGGCTGAAAGTTGGACTGAAAGCTTGGTTCTCAAAGTTTCCATTCAAATACTCAAATTTCTTTTTCTATGTTTAAGTCAATTTTGACAATTGCAGACCACTGCAGCCCAGTGTTTTGACCTCAGTTTAGGTTCTGGTTTCACACAGCAGAACATCGTTCAAAAATGTCGAACACTAGTGCGACGTCAGTGCAGTCTCAAGAATTCACTTGCAGTTTTATTACAACTCCTTATTCCATAATTCATCCATTAATAACACATTCATCATAAAAGCACATTTTGTCAATAAACATTGCCACTTTTCTCAGTTGTAGGCTGTATAGATCTGCCAACCCATACAGGGACAAAAGGATGGCCAGGGCTGACAAATGACTGCATTTCTTTTTAAGAGAGGTACGAATGATAATGGGAGGGACAGGAGGTGTCCGCAGCTCTTTAGCAGCAAACCACAGAGTCACTGTCCCCTTTAAACATCCCTGGATCTGCCCGCAGGAGAGAACGAAAAAGCAGAAATTTTCAAAGTAAAACACATTGTAGAGAAGCACCTTTTGACCTAACTCATCATTAAAGTTTCTATCATTAAAATGACGAGTAACTGTGTGTGTTTTGAAAGGCTCGGTGGGTAGAGCCTTGCTGTGGAATCTGCTGCAGGCAAGCATAAATTATGTAATGGTTGTGCTGAAATAAAAAAATAAAAGGATCCTGTTACAATATCTTATTTGGCAAAAATGGGCTGCAGTGAATTGTGGTAAAGCACTTTGTTACTCTTTAGCAAATAAATCAAGTGATCCCATGGTTATTTTTACAGACATAAGACAAAATAAAAAACAGGTCCAATACAACACGCATGTGAGGTGTTTGACCTTGTGTCCTGTTTGAAAGGAGTCACACCTATCCCTCCAACTGCATATGGTTATAGTTAAAAAGATATGGCAGAAAACGTCTTACCTGAAGAGACGTTTCCCTTGATTTGACCACTATCACTGTTCACTGTCTTCTTCTGCGTTCGTACTGATGGCCTGTCAAAACAAATCAGCCAGATTCATCTAGTATCCTCTGACAGAATGTATTTGTTCATTTATTTTAAGTGCAACTGAAACTAAACAGCATTAACTTTTGCACAAGACAATGCTGTCCATTAGGAAGATGAAAGACAAGGCCTATATCACTGTGAGTAGTGTCTTACTCCAGAGTGGCTGGCAGAGCTGACAGATGTCTCCAGAAGAAATGCTGGTCCCGCTTTGGTCAGCTGTCAGGGCCAGAAAAGGGAGGATTCACCACATGACACTGGATAACAAGGCCAAAGATCAGTTTCTGCCTTGTTATTCACTTGCCAATATCAATATAATCCAGAGAACGTGGAAGCACATTTACATTTCTTAGAAGTAGAGACAGGAATTTCCCCACAAGGGTCAACAAAAAAATAAATAATATATCTGTCACTGACAATGTAAAAATATACTCAATGATTGATGATGGTGTAGTAAGTCAGCTGTATAGTAAAGAAAATAAGTTAATAAAGTTAAAGTGTTCTTTTTTGTTAAGTGTGAAATCCGCTATGCCAAATGCCCTTTTAAAGTATCGTAATTTTATCCTTCTTTGCTTTTCAATAAAAGGTACACATCTAATAGTTTATAAAATATGACGACATGCGATTCAGCACCAAATTCTTCTACGTTCGGCATATACTCCTCTGAAAAAGGAATAGTTATTTAGACAAAATGTGGACTTTTATGCCGTGCTTTACTAGCTACAGCGCTGTACCGAGTAACATACATTCCGTGAAAAGTGGTCCTAGCAACAACATGCAGACCGACTATAAGTTTAAATTGTATTGTCCGAAGTGACAATTCTTCTATTAAATTTACGCCGAATGTAAGTATAAATCTACGTGATTAGTAAAGGGTCTCACAGTGTTATCATAGTTATACATAGGCCGATAAGGCACAGACAACTAAAAATTGACAGATTTTTGAATGGAGTTTGGGTTTTTGATTAAAATGCGTATAGCTAACTCTGTGCAGAGATGACAACACTCCCCCGACCCCCGTTATATCCATGGCTAAGAACCGGTGGATAATTAGTGCAAATTGCCCGTTTTTAACGGGAGAATAGCAGACGGTGTCCAGTCCAGACTCGGCATCAGTGAGTCTGACCCCCAGCTGCAGCTCGATGGAGCCCGAGATGGATTACAGATGGCAACGATATAAATATGCTTCCAACAACCACAAGCTAATGACAGCATGCTAAAAGAGCGATTTAAAAACTGATAGAATAGAAGGCCGTCGTTCTACATACCTTTAATGTCTACTTTAAATTTTCCTTGTTGATAAAAACAAACCAGCTGTCATTTTGCTCTCCCATACATCCCGGAAGTGACGTAACATGTTAGCTGAAAACGATTTATTTTTTATTTTTTATTTATTAACTTCATTTTTAGTAACACCGTTTTAAAGTTACACCATATTTAGTTCTTTTTAGCAGCCTGTTTTTAGGCGATTCTATCAAATTGTACAAAATAAAAAATAAATTAAAAACTGAGGTACCCCCTGAGGAGGAGGCCTATGATGTCATTGTTTTGCTGGTGTTACTGATGACATTTGTCCTATCCTGTTTCACACAGACACTCTGCAGATGTTGTCCTTCTGGTGGTTATGTTGATAAAGCTTTTTTTCCATGACATTTGGGCATGTCATGGTAGGGAAAGCACAGGTGCAACTAATATCATTAATGATGGCTGCGTGCATGCTCGATCACTGGAATGGTTTACTGTAACACTTAATGACACAGAGACATCCTTAACTGTATTAGCAACAGCTGTGTGCTTCCTGCTATAACCAGTCAAAATGTCTTCTCTGTATGTGGTACTAAACAAATAACAGATAAAGGAACACAAATGCAAGTTTCAAAATAGTTTAACAGTGTAATATTTAGATAAGATCGACAAAGGAGAGTAAAAGCATTGGTTAAGGTCATACAATAAAAATACAAAGCAGGCAGAACAATAATTGGCAATGCAACACACTCAAAGAACATATACTATATATCCAATAAAATTAAACCATACCATTATGCAACACATAAACACATCAACTACAGTCCAACCAAAATTGTTGACAGATATGAGAGAGTTAGTGTCACATTAATAATAGTTATAATATATTAATAATAACTTTGTGTCATATTTGCTGAAACTTTCACTATATCCTGACAGAAGAATATAAGACAGATAATCTGTGTATGAATCAGGTTCCTCTGGCTCTTCTAGCTGCCTGCTAAATGGCATTACAAAAATCAACTGCTCTGAAAAAAAAGCCAATCAGAGCCATGCGAAGATAGTGTGAGTTTTTTTTGATTTTTTTAAAAGTAATTTCTGGGGGCTTTTTTTATTGCCTTTTTATGTGACAGCTGAAGTAAGACAGGAAAGGGGCCGAGGAGGAGGGTGATCACAACAGAAAGGGCAAGGTCGGATTTTCGAACCCTGCGGCCGCTGCATCGAAGGACTCAGCCTCGGTACTATGGCGTCGCCAGCTCTTACCCACTGAAGCTAAGCCGGGCACCGCCAAATAGTTTGCATCTTGACTCTCATTCCCAGCGTGTGGTATTGTGATGCCTCTGCGGAATGGGAGTCAGGAATCAATGCGTCTTTATATCTTTCTCTGCTTCTTTTGTTTCGGCTTGACCTGGCTACTGTTCTGAATGGTTGTTTTCGGTTCAGGCCCCCGTCTGGCATTTTACAGAATTTTGCCATGTTCGCAGAGTGAATTCATACAAATACCATTCGGAGCACTAGTAGAAGCAAGAGGAACCTGATTGTTTCATAGATTAGCTGCCTCATATTCTACTGTCAGGATATAGTGAAAGTAGTTTCAGCAAATATGACAAAATGTTATTTTCATAAAAGTTACCTACTGCAGCTTTAATGTACATTAATCAGGTTTTATTTAGGTGAGAGAATGGGGGCCTGCAATACAACTCCTCACATACCATGGGTGACCTTTACTCTTCAACTTGAGATTTGTAATCTGTTAAACATCTGCATTAAAACAAGTTCCATGTAAGTATATAGCTGATCCAAACTAAAAGCTTCATTTATCAGGAACTTCATCTGTTTGGGTGATGACAAAAAACAAGACAACAGTGCCACCTACAGACAATCAAATGTCATCAACAGTAAATCCGGGGGGAGAGGAATGATATGGTAAAAATACATCTGGTAAAGATTTTAATTTAATTCAACTCTATGCTTTAGATATAGTGTAAGGTAAAGTAAAAGAGAAAATTCAGAAAAGATATATATGGAGAGAGTTTTGAGAACTACAAAAACTAGCTTTTGTCACTATAATGGACTGTAGGTTAGGGTTACATTAGGGTTAGGTTATCACCACTGGATATGGTCATGCACAGGCATCTAGAGCATCACTGTGTGCACCGGAGCCCTGTAGTGGTTGTGTGTCATCCTAGAGGTAGAATTAATAGATAGATAGATAGATATTTTACTTACTTACGTTACTATATCACCACATTAAATACCATTGTCTACAGAGTTGTGTTGTTGGCTGGCTGCTTTGAGACAGCTTTGTCAATGTGAAGGTTAACCTAACTGTCCAGTTTCTATCCTATTGTGTGGGTTTTAAGGTCAGAGACACTGGCAGTAGCAGTGAATGATTCATCTTCAGTGTGTCAGCAGAGTCATTGAGGAGCTTGAAGATGCCCTCTTTACTAATTTTGTCACTGAAGGCCACCCTCTCCAGCTAGAAATGGGCTTCTCTCAGCTGCAGGTAAACGCCATCATAGCAGTGGTTGGCCTGTTCAATCTCAAACGTCGAGTGTGTTCACGAGCGTGGACTGGCTAATGACTGTCTTCCCTAGCCAAAGCAGAACTTCATCACAGATTTACTGACCAGCTGATCATGATCAGGCAGGCTGTAAAAAACTAACAAACAAAAAAAATGCTTGCTTTTTAAAGAGTTTTACAAGAACAAATTCCTATAGATGCTTCTTCACCAGTTACTCATTTACTTGAGCTTTCTGGTGTTTAATTAATGCTACAGGTGGTGTACATGTGGCCTGTCTGAGCTTGTTTACTACAAATGGTATAATTAGAGCAGTGGCGCTCAATCAGAAAACCAAATCAGTGTGTGTTGATTCTTGGGACAACGTGATGCACAACCCTACTTGTGATACTTTTTTTTTATATTAATAATAGATCAAATGAGTGTGTGATTTAATGTGTGCTTGTAATGCCACTGCCGTTCCCCTAAGCTGCAGCATTTTACTGTTTTTCAGCTCACAGATTTAGTTTACAGGCTGCAGGTTTACTGTTCTGGTTCACTGTCACTGCTCTTATCAACCTCATTTGATAGCGCTGATAAACCCCACATGCTCTGACAATTTTATTTGCTGGTTGTTGCTGCTGAAATGTGAAAACTGCTCCTGGAGCATTTAGCAGCTGGAACAGAGCTCAAAGAAGAGTATATATTGTCACTAACATTTCCCAGGTCGTCAAAAACATGAACCCAAATAAAAGCTTTATGCTTCATGTCTGCTGGATGTGTACATAGGCAACACTTTGCTAAAATATTCAAATATCATCTTTATTAGGTGACAATACTTCATGTCAGAGGATCTAAACGTTTTTAACCTTTATCCTTTTAACCTGATTGGACCATGAAGGTCTGCACCAGACTTCATAGCAAACCATCCAGTTGTTGTTGAGACAATTAAAAACGGCAGCTACATGGGCAGGAAAAGTCGACTGAACACCAATGGGGGCCATAAATACATAATTTTACTGCAATCTGTCCAATATTTTGACAACATCCCCATTTACAGAGCCACTGGCATGGCTAAAAACATGGACATGCATTTATTTATGTTTTGGAGGGTATTTTATGATCCATCCCACATTAGCAATACCTGTTATCCTTCAGAAGGTTGTGTGTTGCAGGAGATAAGCCAAGCTGTCACTGGGTGAGAGGCAGTGTACAACCTGGACAGGTGGCCAGTTAATCAAAGTGCTAACACATAAAGACAGACAACCTTTCACACTAACATTCATACCTTCAGAGCCCCTGGAGAAAACCCAGGCAGGCACAGGGAGAACATATAAACTCTACACAGGAAGGCTGGCAGATTCAAACCCACAACCCTCTTGCTGTGAGGCAACAGTGTCTGTCTGTGTCAGCCTAAAGTCAGCCTGTGTGACTTTAAAATACCACAGCCGAAAAAACATACTATCTTTCAATCAGCAGTCTGACATACATTATGTAAACTGTACTTAAATGAATGACTCCTAAGAAAGCCGAAAAAACACTTTCTTGAACGTAGTTCGACTTTCCTCATTAATCTGTCCTGCACAACTTCTGGTCAGTGGATGAAATACAACATACAACAATACATAAATAAACTGCAGAGAGAAGAAACACTGGAAAAACAGTTTTAAGTGGGACAATTTATTTTATTGTCCATTAATTTCTCTTAAAAGCAAAGACATGTTAACTGTTTGTGTAAGTTTACATATAACTAACATGTAACTAATGGAGTTACACAGGGTACATAAAATGTATCTGTAATAAAATGCAGGGATTTTTGAAATTATACTGGAATCAGTGATGACCTGAGGACTGACCACATGACACTCTTCAAGCTGCAAAAGAAAGAATAAAAGAATAATTCACGGTGAAGACATGCAGTCTACATTAATTATTTGGTTAATTTACAAAACTGTGAAGTTTCCAGTACTGTATGTCCATATCAATCAATATGTCAATTTCCAAAATGTTGTGAGAATGATTCTGACAAATTTAAGACGTGATTTTTTTAAGGGGCTAAAAATGTTCTGTCCTTTTGGACATTAAATGGCTCTTGTAATAAACGTGGCAGTGCTTGTGTGTGTTATTACAGATTGTTACCTGCAACACAAGGGAAGATATATTCTGTCTCAGCCTGGTCACCTGAGGGGAAAACAAAAAGTAGAATAGAGAGAAAAGAGAGAAAAAATATAGTCAAACTTACTTCATGTGTTCAACAGTCTAACATATTCAAAAATGTAATACTTTAAAATTACAACTTTCAGTTTTTTTTGTACAGCTCGACTAGGGAGCAGAGTTTGTCAGTGTGTATATTACTTGGACTGGTATAGTTAGCCATAGTTCTTTGACCAGGCTGGTCAGGTTTCTGCCTGCAGCTCTGTATGAGCTCTAATAAGCTGTGGTTGATGGTATGTCTTTGAAATAACTGTTGTGAAGGACATCAGACGACGCATCAAATAACGGACTGAGAGCCATTATGTTCCTCTAATGTGAATCCTCTATCCTGTATTTGTAACTGGGAACATGGTCTAACAACGACGTTTGATTCCAACGCGCTTCCACCAGCAGAGTCATCTTTGAGCTAAGTCGAGGAGACCAACGTTGGTTCGTTCATACAAAAACAGATGTAAAACATAATCCATTGTCTACTCAGGATTGAATTACTGTAATACTCGACCATCTCCACAGACTCTGAGGTTGGACTAAATCCAAGAGAAGCTTTTTGCGATATCCAGGATCATCCATGTTTGTTGTTGTCTCCTTTCACCTATCTCTTGTATAGATGTATAACCTCACAAAAGTATCGTGGCTGATTTACTCAGGTGAGAATTTCCGTTGTATGGGTGCAGTTGTCCTGGTAGTTTAGTTGAGGTGTGATAATGTATTGTAGGATGTTATAGGCATTCGGTGTGTTGAAGTATAGCATTTATTACTAGTTGGTGTAAGTTGTAGCAGATTGTATGTTAGATATCCAAACTGTGCCTTTGTGTCGATCTTTTGGAAGTGATCGTTAGCTAGGCCAAGATGTAGTTATAAATTGATTCTCATATGTGGGTAAGTTTGCAAGTAACCTAAAGTTAAATTTAATAGGGGACTATGCAATAAGGTACTTACAGTAATGGTTTGAAATATAGCAAGATTATGGGCTTGTTGCATTATTCAAAGGTGAATATGATCCCAGAATCGAATTAATAGTTTTTTTTGAGGCAGTGGATCTATTATAGTCGGTTGTCTC